GCAATAATTTAATATGATTTTATATCTAGTCAATGTTCTCAAATACATTGTATCGGCGCAACACTAGCCTTATTAACATATCAACGTTTATGTCCCCTCACTAATCAATCTAGCACTGGACTGTGTAACGAAAGCGCGCCATTCGCGGCAAAGGATTCTAATATCTAAAAAATTGTAAATAAAAAATTGTTGACCTATGGTTATCATGTTTTTTGTAGAAATTTATAGCTAAACTGCATTAAAGTTAAACAAGGAAAGATGTACGAAACTCATATGTCATTGCCAAAAAGAAATATCGGAATCGGATAATCGAGGCGAACTGCTATTGATGATGAATGATAATCCCCGAGCGAAGTGGAATTGCAATCCGGAAATTCAATTACTTAACGGTATAAAGGGATACTGATTGTATGTCAAGGACAACACTTACACCGCTGTAGCAAGGCTTACCAATTATAAAGATTAAAAAAGATATTCAAAATTAAAGTTATCTTTAAGTCATGAATTTATTGTCACGCGTAAAGCCGTTTAATGATTAACTAGCTGTCGCCCGTGACTCCGTCCGCGCAGTATTAAAAAAAACCTAATAAGTAGCCTATGTGTTCTTCTAGATCATATTCTACATGTATGCTAAATTTCATCGAGATCCATCTTATCCATCGATTTATCTAAGCACTTATAATATTAGTAAGAAGTAAGATAACCAATTAGTGTATTTTTGTTACTAAATCTACCCTAAAAGACTCAAACAACTATGCATACGGCTATAGGACATTGTATTTTTTAGCCTTCCGAAGCATAACTATTGCAGAAACCGTATAAGACAGAGAATATCACACGAATATCGATGTGTTCTGTGCGTTACGCGCGGTTACGATGCGGTTGATGCGTTTATGAGCTACGCCAATAGGTGGCGGTAGATGCAAGAAACCGTATTAATAGCAATTTGTAATGGCGAATAGTAAATTAGTCGAATTTTGCGTTTTTTGGTGAATTGATTAATTTATTTAATGATCTTTTTTATTAAGAGTCGAAATAAATGGACTATCATTAATAATCTTTTTATTGTATAAGAATATAATCACAATTTTAGTCATAAATAAATGATTAAAAGTATTTACCGTGTTAAATAATAATTGTTACAATGAACTATTTTAGTACCAACTAACCGACATATCTCATTTACATTTAAATGATATAAATACAGATTAAATATTTACTGGTCCTACTTGCATGGGTCACAATTATTTGTTTAGTCAATTATCTTACGTCAAACAGGATTTTGACTACACAATCAGGCAACACATCATTTAAAAACAACTATTATAAACAAAAATTTACCAAAGAGCATAAACGTATTTTTTTTATAAAAGAGAAGAAATAAAATGAGATGAGATATAACAACCAAACAGAATAATTTTTACCACGTGACCGTGACGAGATTTTCATTCCCAATCGATTCTAGCAGTGGGTTTACATAGCAGGTAATCTTGTATTAACATACTAGCTGTAGCCCGCGACTCCGTCCGCGCGTAATTTCAAAAAAAAATTATATTTTCATTACTTGTGTTCATAAGTAAATATAACACAAAAAATTTGCACCGCTTAGAGATTGATAGGGATATTATTGTATTATAAAATTAATAAAGCATTAAAATCAGATAAATTGTACATTTAAAAATAACTGACGTCTACAAACAGGTCGGCAAGGACGTATCACGTCATTCAATCGATTATTTCCTGCAATTTTCTTAGAACTTATCTTCCATCTAAGTCTTTGAATTCTTATGTAAGCAAATTAAACCAATAAAAAATAAAACAATCTACGAAAATAAGTTAATTAAGTTACTGTTTTTTTCTCAACTTAATATAGTATCAAATTTAAAGTACCTTATTTTGAATATATTTTTTATTTAGAAATAAAATATCGTCGAGATTTAATCAGTCATTAAGTGAGTAGTAAATGGCGACTTTCGTATTTCGGCGAATTTCCTTGTTTTTTTTTATTCCAAAAGTTATCCCAATCGTTGATTTTAATAATAGGAAGGTAAAAACACAAAAAAGTATATAAGATGAGACCAATATAACAATAGAATAGGTAGCTTTAAATTCATATTTTTTTTCATGTAGGAAATGATTAAATATAGGAAAATATATAAACAAAGATGGGAACTTTTTTTCGGTTACAGCCTTTTTTTTACTTGAATTAAGTGTTTCAAAATCTCATAATGGTTCTTTCTTACTTAAAAAATAAATTTAGGATTAAGTATTCAAAAATGTAATAAAAACAAACAGTGTTATCCTAATTTTGCGAACTTATTTGATTGACTTGTTAGCGATTTTCGTAAAGCTATTGATTATTGACTGAGAGCGTCGGCGGCTCAGGGGTCAAACTTGACTTGCAATCTGCAGGTCCTGGGTTCCAATCCCGCCATGTACCAATGTGTTTTTCGATTTCCGATTTACATATGTACATTTATGCAACCTGCACATATCTGAGAAGTAATTCAAAGATATGTGTGAAGTTAACCAACCTGCACTTGGCCAGCGTGGTTGACTATGGCCTAATCACCCTTAACTTAGGGTAGGCTCCGAGCCCTTCGGTGGGGACGTATAGTGAGCTGATGATGATGATGATGATGATGATTGATTATTACTTACGATATTAAATTATAAACACCCGAATCTTATGTTTGAAGGTATTTGAAGTATACTTATACAGGATGTATCGGAATACTCTAGTTATTAGTGATGAGTATATGTCAGTTATAATTCCTTCATGTTTTTATTAAAATCACAGATTATGTAACCCGTCTAACTTGTTTAAAAATGTAACCACAAATTCTCATAATTTTTAAGGACGGGTATTCAAATTTAAACTAAAAAATGATTAAATGCCATTGATAAATAGCAAAGAAAATTCCAAGACTTATTTATGCACAATAAAATCACAATTTCGCGACGAGTCTTTTTATACATTAAAAAATATCAAGCTTAGTTTTTTCAATAGAAAGAGGTACAAGTATCACTCACTCTATTACACTTTACTTACACTTCCAATCACTTTATTTACATCTTCTCACAAATCTACGATTTAATAGATTTTTTAATTTGTTTGTTACGACTCCAAAGCATTTATAAGTTAGATATATTTAAGATATAATTTCACTGTTCATACTCTATATTAAATTATACTTTGACCGTTATAAAGTATTCATAATATTAGTAAGATAATGCACATAAACTTTGCCTATTGTATTCCATTGCGGGGATCATAATAATTATCATTTAAATTAAAACATATACATTGACTTCGGAAATATCAACATACAGATATATTATAACGAGTGTTTAGAACATAATTACCAAGTATATTTATAAAGTAACTAGCTGTCGCCCGCGACTCCGTCCGCGCTGTATCAAATAAAAACAATCAGTAGAGTACGTGTTCCAGACTATGTTCTATATGTATGCCAAATTTCATCTACATCCGTTCAGCCGTTATGGAGATATCTTCAAAAAATATCAATCTTACTAAACTAACGATAATTTACATGAAGAGAACTATGTTATTAGATTCAATAAAATATCAAATGTTAAAATATTTAAATTAAAAATAAAACGTCTCCATATAAATGATTTACCATTATTTTTATGAAGAATACCAAGCTTATCTATATTTTTTTCCAAGACCAAAACTGTTAAGAAAGCCTACAATCTACGTGTGCATTACACGTCCTACCCCTTTTAACGCAATTTCTCCAAACCAAAAAAATACAAGATACTTAAATGGATGTAAACTTTTCTATTATTTTATATATAAAAAAATACAAGTCGTTACAAGCCATTAAGATTAGATTTATTATTATTATAATTAATAAATAGTTTCTGAGTACAATATAATAATATGTGTAATCACGCGAATTGTATTTTAGAGGACATTTAAATTATAAAAAAAGATACAAAGTCCTAGATTATTCATTCAAAATAGATACGTTCTTTTAAAACAGTTTATCTGTGTTGATTTAATACGTTATAAAGATTATAACAGAACGACATAGATCGAGTAACAGAATATAACTGAACCTTAGGGTCATGGTATATAACCTTAATACTTCAATCACTGTGTCATTGCGTTAAGAAGATTAGGAATTGAATTGATATCTTAGCAAATGGGCACATATTAAATGATACATTTTTACAATAGTTTTGGTTCCATGTCCGCATGTAAACGCGGGTACATTCTCTCAATCACTAGGATTATCCACAGCCGAAACATTTGTGATAAAACATATTATTATCCCTTTCATTCTCTTTAAGGAACAAGGATAACAATATGTTTTTGTTCAGCAGTGAAAACACAAGGTTAAATGAAAATTTTCCGTCTCATTTTGCTATTACAACGTTTTTATTATTTCTTTTTAATTGTTTCTAATTCGAAGTCATAGAGATAAGAAACTTTAAAGAAGCTAATTGATTTTTTATTAGTTTTTCAGCTAATATTTTTAATTCGTTTTCCTCAACTTTGAATTATAATCTATCGATATAATATTATTCCTTGTAGAAATTACACATGTTATCCATGACTGTTATATCCTCTTTAATAACTCTGTACGTCTTAGGCTGTTTCTAAGCAAAATTAAACCTTTATTGTAACTGACTTTGAAGTCTAGAATCAATGTAAGTTTTTATGGTATTATCTTTTAACTTCGAAAAATTCGCGGCTAAAAATACATATAAATCATTGATAAAAACAACAAACTTCGCTGATATAATAACCAAATTAAACATGCAACCAATAAAAAACAAATCCGTCGCCCTTCATTAAATATGTTAAAAACAGACGTTCGATTAAAAAAGAGAAAGCTATTATGGATAAGCCTGTTGCAGCACCACGTAATCATAATTATTAAGGTAACGCAAATATTAATTCCTTCATATTTTTTACTAAACCATAACAATAACAAGAAAATTTTAAATAACAAATAGATTATACTTACACCACTTTCTGAGGAATGCGCTGGAGAGCTTCGCGCATAGTTTGTCGCGGCCCTGCATTTTAAACTGTCAATTATTTTTATTTTAAATTCAATTAAAAATACCACAACACACACAGACACGTCACACACAAGCACAACACTTAAATCACCAGTGTCGTTCCATTTAGTTTTTTTTTTAGTTTGTTTGAATGTATTCAGAATCTAAAGACGGAACGACACGTCCCTTCCGTGCGGCGGTCTGACGTCGACTGAGGCAATGGGAGCGTTGGCATGCGTGTGCGCAGCTCCTGCAACAAGAGAAAAATCTTATAGGAAAAATAAACGTGATTAGCTGCAATGGTTTTTAAAGTGATAAGGTTTATTAGCAATCAAATTGAACTGAATAATTGCCCTGACATTGAAAGGAATAACATACTTTAACTATACTTTTAAAACAACGACCTTATTTATTTAGTTACAGACAAATGAGTTAATAAACCAATGGAAAAAAGATATTATATTCTTGATTAATAAAGCAAAGTATAAATAACATGTAAAACAATCTAAGTAACACAATGAACCAAAAATGTTTAACTATTATTATCGACTTAAAACTCAAGTAATTAAAAGATTTTTGATGCAAAATACTCTGCTTAATATTGTACCGAAGCTACTTCGTATAATATCTACAAACATATTAGACCATAAAAGATAAAACCGCGTCAAAACTACATTACCATTTTTATTTCGGCTTAGAAAAAAAATCTTTTACATATAAAAACCACTAATAATCTCAGTACTAAAATTATTTAATTTGCAAAATTATCAAATATCGTATACATAATTACAAGGATATTGTATTCTATAAATTAAAAAAAAATACTTGAAGACAACAGCAATTTATAATAAAAAATTATACGATTCAAAATGCACGTCCACAGATTTATACCTACCATCTTGGAACTTTTTATTTATTTACGCAGAGATCTGATTAGCAATTTGAATCCTTGCTTAATCCTTTCTGTGAGTTTTTTAGTTGTAATGGAAAATGTCTTATTGATTTCTTTATTATTGCGATGAGATAAATCTCAAAATTGTTATAATAAGTAAAATTATATGTTTTTAAGACCCTATAATATAACCCCTTTAGCAAATCTTACTTTTTACTAATATTATAAATGTCAAAGTTTGGATAGATGGATAGATGTTTGTTCGAAGGTATCACCAGAACGGCTGAACGGATCTCGATCAAATTTGGTATACAAAAGAACATAATCTGGAAGAACACATAGGCTGCGCCATAAGTTTTTTTTAATCCCGTGCGAACGGAGTCGCGGGCGACAACTAGTCAATAATATATTAAGCAACTTAATTTTTTGGTTTTTCATTGGTACATAAGTCTAATGATTTTACGATACTGAGTATTGCATTTCAAGTAGACGACTTGAGCCATCACTTTGTGATTTACTGTACGCGACAGATTACTTTTAAACGACGCATTCTAAATACGATTAAGATAAGCGTCATCCAGACTTTGTTAATTAAGAACAAAGTATAATAACAATAAGGGGTCAAGCACTTGACTTGCAATCTGGAGGTCCTGTGCTCGAATCCCGCTATGTAACAATAAGTTTTTCGATTTGTGATTTACGTATGTACATTTATCCGACGTTCTTACGATGAAGGAAAACATCGTTATGCAACCTGCACATATCTGAGAAGAAGTTCAAAGATATGTGTGAAGTCAACTAACCCGCACTGGGCCAGCGTGGTTGACTATGGTCTAATCACCCTTAATTTATGGTAGGCACCGAGCCGAGTGGAGACGTATAGTGAGCTGATGATGATGATAATATTAACAAGTGAAGCAGGCAAAGACATATCAAAGATACATTTATTGATAGAGTTAGAAGCGGACTATACAAAGAAATAAAGGGACATGCTTCTCAAGACAATAATGTTAATAACATTGCATATAAAAATATTATGTGAACATTTTATAAATCAGACGAATTGCGTCAAGACATGATCCCATAAAGAATTTATTACTATCAATTAAAATATATTTTTTACTATAACGCTGGATTTTATTCAGTTTCTCGGAAAAAGGTCAATACGTTGTTTGAACTTTTTAAATTATATACAACTATCAAATGGAATTAATTATATTTTTAATATGGTTGTATATATTTAAAAATGTTACAAAGTCACGAGGCTGGTTGGACGTGTTTTCTGGTTTTACTAAATTACACTCATATATTTATACTCGCACGTTGTATATACAGGTTGTGCGGTTCATTTGAAGGCTTGAAGGTCATTCGCCTAATTATAATATTGGAATTCATTATTTACGAAAACACATAAGGTGATAGCAGACAAAATTAATAATATAATTACGTATATAGATAAACAAAGAATCGTGTACTACCGGAGGCATATACGGAAGAAATGGACTGGACAAGGGTTGACGAATATCATCAATATTAACCGAATGTATCGTGTGAATTGTATAAACTTACTAGCAGCAGTCCGCGATTCTGTACGCGCGAAATAAAAATAGTAGCCTATGTGTTCTTTCAGACTATAGTCCATTACTACGCTCCTACTAAATTTCATCGAGATCCGTTCAGCTGTCCTGGAGATACCTTCAAACAAACATCCATCCATGAAAACATGCGCATTTATAATATTAGTAAAATTTATCAAAACATTGTTCTTTAAATGTATCTCGTTATACCTAAAATATAATTCTGAAACATAATTTAGGTATAAGAGTAATTTACTAAATTTGTTCAAAGTTTCCTTGAGTGGTCGTCAACCTGCCTACGGCGGACATATCCTCGATTAAGTTGTCAGTCTGAGCTGATGAATATGATGAGGTATGTACAATTAGATACATACAACAACTCATGATATGAATAAAAAAGCTCAAAGATTACTTATGCCCAAATTATAATATTAAGTAACAAAGAATGATGAGACAAACAAGATACACAGAAGTAAATATTAGTAGTTTTAGACAATATTAGTTAAAATGATTTGGAGCGAACGCGATTTCGTTACCAAGTCAAGTAGCCAAGTCAAGACAGTGGGGGATGTAAGCGTTGATATTTTAATAAGACTAGTTGGGGCAATACACCGCCATTCGTCGGATTTTCTTTCTAACAGATATGCAGTTAAGTAATTACACTTGAGTTTCGCTTAAAGAAGACAAAGGATAACTAAAATGCATGATAGTGTCAGAAGTAGACCTAGCAGAACATAGACATAATTGACGAGAATGTAGCATACCACATCCATAACATATCAATAGTTGAATCAAAACATTTAAAAGCAAATTAAACATAAATGTAAAACCAATTTTAGAAAAAAAAACAAACCGAAATTACAGACATATATTATCCGTTAAGCCATTTAAAATGAAGCTCGATTTAAATTAAAAAAATACTTCTTCGTATAGTTTAAAAAAACATTAAAAGTTTCCATTAAGCTACTAAGGATATTATTAATTTCAAAGGCTCAAACATGGCGAGCAAAAACTAAACGTATATAAGAACTTATACGACTATCTTCAATTAGAACGATGACGGGTTCGTGTTGTTTTCGTGCCATATAAAAATGATACTGGTGTATTGCGTTTGCTGAAACACGTTAAACTAGTAACAAGTCACAACTAAGAATAGAAACCTATCAAGATGCGAACACTTAGCACGCCATTTTGATTTAAAAAACGTCGTTTTTTTATTAATACTAACACGATGAGCATGGCTTTATAAATATACGATTTATTTCGTTACCAACCATCTTTAGACTATTAAAATCAGATCAGATTTTACAACTGAAGAAACTGAAATAAAAAATACAAGGGCATATACCTAATGTTTTGTAGTAACGGCCTTGTTGTAAGTGAAATTGACTGCGGATAAAGCATACAATATGCATAAAAAGCAAAATGGCTTTTTGCAAAATAATCGATATTTAGGTGCGCATTCTCGGCTTTCTATGACCTTCTTGCAAAACTCACCTTCAAAATAAATTTTAATTTCTATTTTCTCCATTGGTGTACACAAAGCGGCACATTTTTTATAAATATTAGTAGATTTTTATACATTAACTTGTGTGTAATAGTCGAATGGCGGGATTCCCGACCTCTTGATCGGAAATCCGTACCCTTAACCATTAGGGTATTGGCGTTTAAACTTAAACTTTTTATATTCTTTGTTTCCGAATTATTACTAGCTAATATTTGTAAATAATTTAAGCAAACAACAGCTCTTAAGAATCTAATACAGGGTGTTTTATTTCCTTCGACAGTCTTAGGTCAATCTTTGGGCCATATATAACACGCAGGTTAGAACTAATTACATGAGTGATTACGTGGACACATCTACATACATTATACAGTAATTAAAATTTAACGCACCGACTTTGTTCAGAAAAACCAGAAACATTTAAATGTTAATTTACTAGATAAGAATATTGTGTGAAAACGTAATCCGTATCATACAAAATGCAGCTAGTTTTCATCATCGTGAATAGGCCTTATGCCCAAATATAACATTAAAAGACAACAATACACCTCTTATTAAATTAGGTTTAAGTTCATCAATCCTATGGAGAAATTAATAGACCTTAATTCCTAACAGGATTCTAGCAATCAGTATGTAAGAAGAATCGTTGTCGTTTCGCTCAGTTTAAAACTGAAATTTTTTATGCAAATTTCGCGACCTACCTTATCTCCAAAGTTTTGGCAAGAGCACTTTCCATATAACTGGTTTTTGTCCCTTTCACGATAACTTTATGTAATCAACTCGATGTACAGTCAGCTGCATAAATATGTATATTTAAAAAAAAAGTTATGCAGGCCTTCGGTTTTAAAAATAAGAATGCGATTATTAATCAGTCGGTTGTATCAAGGTCCGAACCATACGGACGGGTACGCTGATGTATATTTTTTGTAACCAACAGCGTACACAAGTTTCTGCAGCTTTTAAAAATTTACTTATATTTATGCAGCTGACTGTACATTGGACGTCCGTTTAAATGCGATTACCAATATACATAAGCTGAAGTAAGCAGTGTTAACATACATAATGTACAGATACTTCTTAGCATTTTCCCTACATTTAAATGTATATAAAAACTAAAAAAAAAAACAGGCACATGGTACGCGAGTCGCAGATTTAGAACTTGTTACGCTGTAGGCAGATACAGGTAAATTAATCATATAAATTCTTATATAGTGAAAACTTTAAATATCCGCAATACGTTAATTATACGAAAAATTTAATTTAAACTTTTAATTACT